AGAAAATGGCAAATGGCTCCAGTATCTTTGCCAGGAAAACTCCAAATGGGGCCATGATTGTACAACAACAACCTTTATGTTCAGTGGTATTACATTTTACAAGTAAAACTGAGATAATACCAACATTAAACTAAAATAACTCTTTCCTTCATTTGTCAACTTACGCCCAAATTTTATTAAAGGATAGATTTAATGCAAACATAAGTGTACTCCAGCTTTCTGGGGCAGCATGTTTTGCAGCTACTGTGTTGTTTTTTTTTAAAAACTATCTTCTCGGTAAATGCCTTTGCTAAGGGCTAATTGTGTGTACTAGCTGATTGTTAATGGGAAACATGCCAGTGGAGACTCATGAACTATACTTCAAAACTCTCAGTTTTAGAAGTATAGGCCCACAGGGGTACCATAAGAGCCTGAAATAGCAACTGACTATGAGACAGCCCAATCCATGAGTGAAAATTCAAGCCTGGGAAGTTGCTTCTGAAACAGCGCTACCCTGACACTAGCTTTCTCCAGTTAGATGGCCCAAGTGAATAGAGAAGTGGACATACAGTCAAGAAGATCTGAGTTCAAATGTGACCTCAGAGACTTAAACAATTGTGTGACCCTTGGCATGTCGACAGTTACCCCATTTATAAAATGGGAGTAATAAAAGCACCTCTTTCCCAGAGGATTCAGAGTTTTAAGGGTAATTTAAATTGTAAGGCTCAAATGAGGCAATATTTATAATGTGTTTTGCAAACCTGAAAGCACTACATAAATGATATTATTATATTATGACATTTGAGTGATCTGACCCCATGTAGAGAATAGTACCACCCAAGACATCAAATCTGCTGTCAGAACTCTCAGCAAGCCAAGTCTCTCTGAGGGCCCAAGCTAGCCCATGTGAATTGAAGTTTCCATCTTTTCTGTTAGTACATCATTTCCCTAAAGGCTCCTGAGTGCATAAATTAAAGTTTACAAAGAGTTAAAAAGAAAAATATAATTAAAAAGATAAGACAAAAAAGAAAAAGGATTGTTTATCTGGGAGTATTAAAATATTCTTGACTTTTTCAGGGACATAAATGTAGCCAATCAGGCATAAAACAAAAACTTAGGAAGAAGACCTGGAATGCATTACCTACTTTGCCACTAATTAGCTGCACGACTTTGGGCAAATCACATATTCATTGGGTCAGTTTTCATCTGGAAATTGGGCCTAGATGATCTCTAAAGTCTCTCCCACCTCTAAAATGTTATAATCTCAATCATTAAATCAAGCCATTGAGAATTCTCCCTTTCTGACAAGTACCAGCTCATTGAAGACAATCCTATACTAAGAGCATAAGTATCTACATTCTTACTTTAGAGGTGAAGATGCTAACATGACTTAATAACCAGGAAAGTGAATCATTAAGATGACTTCTTATTCAAGCTAATTAAGATGTGACTTCTTATAATTCATCAACTTCTCCTTACATTCTCTTTATATTCAAAAAAATAGAAATAAAACTACAACCTAGGTTGTAGGGAAATCTGCTTCCTTTTCTCTAGCTAACCCAGGCTTCTTTCCTGGAAGTATCAAGCACTTACTATGAAAAAATGGGGCTGGAGAAATAGCAGGCATCAAAATTAATTCTGTTAAGAATCCAAAGGTCCACTGATCTGGCACAGGTCAGGACCTCTGAATTTTTCTTCTTCCTTAAGATTCTCGCCTCTATTACATTCAACATCAATAGCTCACCAAAAAATAGTCTGTTCGGTTCTGAAAACACGGGCACCATTCCCAACTGCTGGTTAAATAGGAGTCTGAATTTCAGTATCACATTTTAAGGCAAATACATTTAGAACAAGTTAAATCAAGAGCTGAAGTAAAAATCAGTTTGCATTCCAAAGGGGTCTACAACACACCTGTGTAAATATCTTCCCTTTAGGAAAGCACATACCAGGTTTCTAAATACAGCTAGCATTTATATTGCACTTTAAGATTTGCAAAGGGCTTTACAAATTAATATCAGATCCTCACAACAACCCTAAGAGATAAGTGGTGTTATTGTGCCCATTTTACAGATGGGGTAACTGAGGCAGGCAGATTAAGTGACTTGCCCAGGGTCATACAGCTAGTTTAGTGTTTGAGGCTGAATTCGAACTCGTCTTCCTGATTCCAGGTCCAGCACTCTATCTACTTAGCTACCTACCTAACTCTCCAGTACCTTAGGGATGGAATGGACAAACAATTGTCACTAGTTGTCAAAGACCTAAGTTCTAGTCCAGGCCCAGCAACAGAACAGTCAGGCAACTTTCCATAAGTTTCATCTCTGTCTAAGTACCAACTCTCCTAAATAAAATGCAGGACTGAACTATATATTTTCTGGACCCCCATGCAGCTTGGAACATCTGAAATTTTAAATTACCCTTAAAACTCTGAAAGACAAAGAAGCAAACTACTTTAAAATCTGACCTCTTACAAATAATGAATCATTTTATTTAGGCCAAATTAATTATACATCATTAAAGGAGGGGTTCCTTTCAGTTTGCTAATTAGTATGTAAAAGGCCTCCACCTATATAAAATAACTGCTTAAATTCCCAAAATGGCCCTGGGCATCTATTATACTATAGCAAAAGGCGAAAGAAATTTTAATAAGCACTCTTGGAGTCATCTCTGAACATGCTGAGTTATCATCTAAAAATTTTTTTTAACTTTGTCCGGGCCATATATAATTGTTTTTTGATTCTCTCTCTCACACTCACACACACACACACACACACACACACACACACACACACAACTATAGTAATTTTCTGCACTCTTCATATTATTCCATACAGTATTAAACATCTCAAACTTTTCCCCTTGATTACACAGGTTTGCCACAAATGAGATAATTAACTAGCTTTCTAGAAATGGTATAACTTCAATCAACTCAATTAGTCATAGTGGGATAGTACAGAGAGAGGGAAAGAAAATCTATCTTTTTTTCTTCCACTCCTCCCCTATCCAAACTCCAGGCTCCATTCATTAATTCAAACAAGTCCTTACTAATCACTGACCTACTCACTGTCCCTTAAACAAGCTTTGTACTTTCCTGCTTTCAAGGCTTTTCTTACGAATTTCCCTCTTTCTGGTATGCCCTCTCTACCCATCAAAATCCTCAGCTATTCTTCAAAGACTATATGCTACTTCTTCCCATAATACTTCCTTGAGGACCCCAACCAAAGTCAACCCACCCTCTGAGGTTAACGATGACTGTAAGCATGAATATGATGATATAAATGGATGTCTAGACAAGAAATATCAGACCTGAAAGGGACCTTGGATATCATCCTAAATTCCACTTCCCTTGCTTGACAGATAAGGAAACTGAGTCTCAGAAAGATACAATGGTTTGCCAACAGTGACATGCCTAATTAGTGACAGAGATAGAAAGAGACCCTGGATTCCTAACTCGCAGTCAATAGCTTTCAGTAAACCACACCAGCCTCTCACATCCAGGGCCCTACAAGGTGATTTATACCAGTAGATACACATTTAAATACAATCAATATTTGCTGAATTGAATGAATGAATGCATGGAAATCCATTCACATTAGAAAAACCATTCAGATCGCTAGTTTAAGCTTGCGCTTCTCCCAAACTTTCTAAAGCTCCTAACAACTCATAAAAGCGGACTTAATTTAAGTTTCCCTGATTCCCGTCTCCAGATGCTAATCAGTTATGAAATGATCAAAAGACAGAAAAGAGTAAGGAAAGAAAGGAAGACAAGGGTCTGTATGAATGATCCAGACAGTGCACCCACCCATCATTTTCTGAATAAAGAGAGGCTTGGTTGCTTTTTGGTTGCTGTTTTCAGAAGGGGTGTAAGGGCTGCAGCGAGAACTTGGAAGAAGAATGTCAGCCAGCACCTCCACTACCACAAGACTGCAGCAGGACCCAGGAGAGGAAGGTGCAAAAAGATACTGCAGGCAGGAAAAAAAAAAAGCTGTGCACTGGGGGCGCCATCCTGTGGCCCAGCTGGACCCCCTGAAACCACCTGGAATTCCTACAGAATCAAAATCTCCATGGAGAAGCAATAAGGGAGGGAAAGTTTCCCTTCCCTTCCCTTCCGTGCTTAGTGACTGGAGGCTACACACAGCGGTCTGTGTTCCCCAATTTTTTCCAAGATTTTCTGGAAGGGAAGAAAGAGGAGCAAAAGGGAATTGGGGGGAAGGGGAGGGAAAGTAAGAAATGTTCCTCCAAAGGTTTTCCTGCTCCTTTGCTGAATGAGTGTAAGGAACGCCAGCCTCTCCTAACCACCAGGGCACAGAGAAGAGAAAGGGCTCCCCCACTGGGGCACGTCCGGGAGCACCTGGAGGGTGTGAGACTGCTCACATTTTAAAGAGGGAAATGAAGACAAGAGGTTGACTTGTGCGCCCTTACCGTTCACATTTCTAGGAGCCTGGAGCTGCGAACTTGAGTAGCGGTAGTATCTTATTTTTGTTTTGGGATGAATACGGGAGGGGTTGGTTTTCGTTTTCATTTTTTTTTTGTTTTGGTTTTTAATTAAAGATAGAAGGGGTGCTCGTCTACACTCCGGAGCTCGAGGGTAGAGGGAGCCTTTTCAATACACAGTTAAGTCCAAGTGTATTCCTGCCCCCCTTCCCCTCCACCCAAGTCATCACCTACGTAAGACCTTTTTTGAGCAAGGAAGCGCCTCAGACCTTCCCTCCCGACACACCCTTACGGTGACAAGTGAAAACAGAAGAATTCCTTTCTCTTCCACTCCAAACTTGCCCCCCCCCTTCTGGTGTGGTGTTTAAACAGGATTTCCTTACTGGCTTTTTTTTTCTTTCTATCCTTCATTTTTTGCAATGGTCACGGCCTTCCTGAGAGCGACCAAGGAGGACGATGTGGAACACACTATATATGAAAGATTGAGGGAGCTGCAGGGTTTTAGGACAGGAGGAGAAAGGGGTGTGTGTACATGAAATCGGGACCCTGGCGTACCCCCATCCCCCCTTTCCCCAGGCAGCTGCACTTACCTCGTCCACGGTCAGAGGCATGCATATCCGGTACTCCTTCAAGAGCATATTCTTGCTGTCCCGGGGGTTGGTGCAGAGCAGCGAACCTCAGAAGGGACTGCCGGGCGGGCGAGTTCGAGTTCTATCTGCACCCTCTCCGAGGAGAGGCAGGCCCCCCGAAGCAGGCACTGGGGGGGGCAGCCCCCCAGACAAACCAGCTTTCTCAAACACGGGCGAGACCGAGTGCTAGCATACAGACACCCAAGCGCTGCCCGGAGCAGAAAACAACACCCCCCCGACCGTTCGGAGCTGCTGCTGCTGCTGCTTCCTTCCTCCTCACGCTGAGAGCAAGTCAAGGTTTGGGTTCGTGGGTTTCCCCCTCCCTTTTTTCCCCCTAAGAGGTCCCCCCCCACCCTCACAACGCGATGTGGCCAAAATCACAAAGGGAGGGGAGACCCGCTCGAAATAGCTCGGGATTAGCAGCCCGGGATGTAAAAGGGGGCGATTGAAATCAAGACCTGCCCGACACCCGGGGAGGAGGGGGAAGGAAATACAAAATTTTCGAATTTAAATTAATGCACAAAGCTCCCCCCCTTCCCTTCCAAAAACAAAATCCACCAATCCACCTCTTCCCACCCCCCACCCCTTTTTCCCAGTCTTTCCAAATGTTAATGTCACCAGGAGCCCATTGCAGCTGAAGAGAAAGGAGAGATGCTGACTTCACCAGACAAAGGCTTGATATATTTTCCTCCTCGGGCGGTAAACAAGATTTCCAGTCCCCGTCCCCCCCCGCCCCAGGCAACTCCCGGTTTAGCTAACGCTGGGGTTGAAAGGAGGAACAATCCCCGCTTAGCATTGCTTTGCTCCTAGGTTCCCCCAACCTCGGTTTCTGGAGAAGGGGAGGGCGGGAAGGAGCTGCCTTTTTTTTTTCCACGCCTCCCCCTCCCCCCTTCTCCCTCCCCGGGGCTCGGTGCGTGCCTGGGAGTTTGTATCCACCTGGACTTGGGCTGGAGAGTCCCCGCTGCAGCCTGCAGTACGCTCCTGCCCCGGCTAAGTGGGAGAGCGAGCGTGTGTCTGACATCAGCAGCAGCGGGGAGGATAGCCCCATCCGGCCAAAGGGGTTATGGTACAGCAAGGAATGTGGAGGATTAAAACCAAACAGCTTGTCACTCGGAGGCTGCTGCCAGCGACCTGAAGCAGAGCTGCCCCGGAGCTGAAGAGCTTAGCTGGGAGGGGGGGAGGGTGTATGGGGGGGGGGGAGGACCCTATTCTTCTTGAGTCTTCCCTGGCTCTTCACCCATTGGATTACATAGCTGGGCCCAAGGTGAATGTTTCCGAAAACTCTGATTTTTTGTAGATCCACCTTGGGAAAGCTTCTGGAGTATATAATATCCTTAGGTGGAATTCTCAGCTCTTCCCAATTCCCAGAACTAACATTTTCAGTGTTCCAACCAGGAATGTGGTTTGCTAAACTAATCCATTCCATGGAGTGGTGACAAATTAAGGGAAGGAAAGAGACTAGCATGGAGTAGGTAGGTCCTGGAGAGAGAAGGCTGGAGATATAAATTGGGTCCGGATTAGTGGAATGCTTTGAATGTCAGGCTAAAGAGCTTGGGCTTCATTTGTACTGGCATTTATATAACACTTTAAAGTTTGAAAAAATACTTTACCTACCTCGTCTCCTTTGAGACAATTGAGAAGATATGGAAGGTTCCTGTACTAAAAATAATATGATTTGATCCCTGCATTAGCAGGGTGATTCTCACCATAGTAAGGAAAATTATTTGCAAGGAGAAAAAAGTGGAATGAGTAATGTGGGAAATGAACTTGAATTAAATTGTGTTGCAAGCACTTTTTTCATTTATCATAGATTTAGAACTGGAAGGTAGGTGGGTCATTGAATCCATTTACAAATGAGGAAACTGAGGTTGAAAGATTAGATGACTTGGCTACAGTCACAAAACTATTAATGCCAGAGGCAGGATTTGAATGGATGCCTTCTTGACTCCAAGCTCTGCTGCGCCACCTAGCTGCCTCTTCTTAGTAACAACTGGAAAGAAAGTAAAATCTCGTTGGGAAAGAGTAAACAGATTGTGGTACCTGAATGCAATGGAATATTATGCTCACAGAGGAACGATGAATTTGAAAAATAAAGGGAAGGCTGAGAAGACATAAACAGATGTAAAGTGAAGCAAACAAACAGGAAAACAATGTAAGCAATGATTACAACCATGTAACCGGAAAGAAGAGCAACAAATCAAAACTGTCATCATAACAGGCTGCATTTGGTCACAAAGAAGAAATATGAGGATGTAGCTTACTTTGCAGAAGGGGAGAATTATGAATGTGGAATACTGCATATGCTGCCAGTTTTGATTGATGTGTTGGTTAACTTTCAACAAATGTTATTTTCTCCCTTCTTTTTAATTATTATTAGGGGTGGCTCTCCAGGTGGAGAGAGGGAGAGACATATTGGGAAATAAAGTGATATATAAATAAAATTTTTAAATCACAAATTGTATTGCAGATCCTGAAACACAACAGCTAGGAGGGAGGGAGAGACTCATACCTATTCTTCCACACTTTGGCAATCAGGCTATAGACTTTGCAGAACAACCAAAATAGGTTTTCATGTCAGCATTCTGAGTTCAAAAAGTCACAGTGAAATGTCAATGAAAATGCCTGGAGTGTTGGTATTTCATCCATATTAAATAGATCCCTTATTTTAACCACAAGAGGCACATTCTTCAGTTACTCAGGAAGCAGCATGTAGCTGCTGAAATCTGTTTTTCATTTGTCTGGTATTTGAAAGCTTGTTTTTTCTGAAAAGTTACTGGATGGGCTGACTGAGTTTTCCACTGACATCCTCTGTGTAGAATGAAATATGAATTTTAGTTAGAAAGGTATTGTCACTTAAAATACTGCAAACACCCAGACTGTATAGACCATAATATAGATGGCTTCTACATGATATGTTTAATCGTGATCAATGGATGATTAACTATAAGAAGCCAACAGGTTATTTCTTAGCATCTTCTGTGCCTTTTTCTATCAGTGTCATGACTGATGCAAAAATAAAAGAAGGCTGCACCAGGCGACGAGGATCACTTCATATTTTTCTTTTGTTTCATGGGTTCCCATGGTCAAAGACTTCATCACCAGGAGGCCATCCTGTTCTTTGAGCCTCTTCATCCTGAGCTAGGGTGGTTCTCAGAAGCAGACCCCAAATTTCTCCCAGAAACAAAGGTCCATTTTTTTTAATACTAATGTTCTATTGGTGGTTCAAGTCATAGAAATCATAGCCACCAGGTAACTGGAATGGCTATGTACCACATAGAAGAAAATGGAGAAACACATGGTGGATATAACCAGGCTGCAACATATTACAAATTAAAAACTTAAAAGAAGAATTGGAGTAAAGGATGATATCAGTGAAATGTATTGTGAAAAGGGAAACACTTTTTTTTTTTTTTTAATATATAAGCTGGGCTAGTTTTTTAAGCGGGGTAAAGAGACTATTTTGCTTTTTGCTGCCTGAGGTATACAAAGTGCAGCCCAGAAGGGGAATTAGTACAGAAGCTTCACCATGCTTATTGTTTCTCTCTAGGGAATTCTCTTCTGGCTCTGCTGGTCCTGCAAGAAGAGCTGAGAGTTGTTTTAACCTTATATTCTCTTTTTTTTTTTTTTTTTTGGTCGAGGCAGTTAGGGTTAAGTGACTTGCCCAGGGTCACACAGCTACTAAGTATCAAGTGTCTGAGGCCGAATTTGAACTCAGGTCCTCCTGACTCTAGGGCCGGGCACTCTATCCACTTCGCCACCTAGCTGCCCCACCTTATATTCTTTCTAATTGATTTTTTAACGTCTTATTTAGTACAGTGATTATTAATTAATTTAATTGCAGTTTTTATGCTATGCTAGTGCTTACTGCATTTTTTAAAATCTTGAACATGGGGGCAGTTAGGTGGCACACTAGATAGAGCTTCAGCCTTGGAGTTAGAAGGACCTGAGTTCAAATCCAGCCTCAGACACTTGACACTTAACTAGCTGTGTGACCCTGGGCAAGTCACTTAACCCCCATTGCCTCACCAAAAAGCAAAAAAATAAAATAAAATCTTGAACAAGCTTTAGGCCTGATTGAAAAGGAAGGTTTACTGGTCATGTGTTGAGAGCAAAAGTTAACAGCTGGAAGGATGAAATGTTCCCCTGATTTTCTCAGGGTATCAGGAGAAAGCAAAGAAAACCCTCAGCATGTTGCATTGACCACCTTCACCACCACCACCACCACCACCCCCCGCCATGTCAAACTTATGGGAAGCAGTGGACCAGAGTACCAAGGATGCTCAGGCATGGGTAGTTTATGATCTGTCTCATTGGTGAGCACATCCAAATCAATGAGACCTCAAAGTCATCTGAATATTGGCATATTAATTCTCCTATGTAGTAATAATGGACTTAGGATATAGATTCTACATATGATTAGCAAGAATTTATTGTTATGCTTATGTGATCCAGAGCCTGCTACAAGAATATAGCACCTGTTATCCAGCAAAATATCCATGGTTCTTTATATTTTTCTTTTTAGTGGAAACTTTAATTTTCAGTTAAATGTCCCCTAGATTTGGATAAGAAATATTCACAGCAACTAAATTAAAGCTATGTCAAATTGTTCAAGGTAGAAAATCTAAATTTGACAGTATAGTGCTAAAAAATAACATTGAAAAGCTATGATATGGAAAGAATCTAAGCTGTTTTCTTTCTTTTCCTCCTTCCTTTCTTCCTTCTTTCCTTCCTTCCTTCTTTCCTTCCTCTCCCAGTCCCTCCCTTCTTCCCTCTCTCCCTCCCTTCCTCTTGAAAACAAATATAATGCCTTCATTTCTGGCACCTAGCTTTCTTTTTAGGGGTATCATTGGAATCTCAGAGCACCAAAAGATTAGTCATCAGGATCTGTGAGGTCTCTTCCAGTCTTAATGTGTCTGTAACCATAGCCAAGGCTTGATAACCTTCTGCCTCAATTTTCCCACACATAAAATGGATTATGAAATTACTTTGCTCCTTCGTTCAGAAGCCTAAAGAATAAGATTCACAAAAAAAGAGACCTTTTCAGTTACATGAAATTCAAAATCTTTTGCACAAACAAAATCAATGCTGCTAAGAAAAGAAAGTAAGCTGTCAATCGGGGGGAAAATTTTTTTCATCGAATATCTCTTATAAGGGTCTGATATCTAAAATATATAAGGAATTAACCCAATTAGGTAAACTGAGAGCTATTCCCCAGCAGTAAGTAGTCCAAAGGTATGAACATACAATTATCAAAAGAATTACAGGGTGTAAACTACTATATGAAAGATTGCTTGAAACCACCAGTACGAGAAATTTCACATTAATTCAGGTTTCATCTCATACCCTTCAAATCAGCAAAAATGACAAAATATGGAAATAGTATTGGGAAGGGAATAAGCATTTATATAGTGCCTACTATATGCCAGGCATCGGGCTAAGCATTTTTCACAAATATTATCTCACTTGATCCTCATAACAACCCTGAAAGGTAGGTGCTTTTATTATTCCCATTTTATAATTGGGGAAACTAAGGCAGAATTTAGGTGATTTGTCCAAGATTGA